CTTGATGAAATTGGTTTAGACAAGGAAAACTTAGCACAACCAACCTGTTACATCACCAAAATGAATAAAAATGCGGATGTTTTCCATGCCTAAAAAGGGCAAACCTTCAAAGAAAACCCTGGAAAAAAAGAAAACTACACAAATGTATATAAGAGAAACGACAGAAAAGCATGGAAACTCTTGCGATACGTATAAAAGGATAATAATGACATTTTGTATTTTACCTGTGCAAAGTCAGGGGGGGTGTGAGAGGTTGTGCTGAGGCATGGGGGATAATGTTAATCATGTTCACTATCTTAATTTAGCATGTTAGCGTGCTAGTACTCGTTGCTCGTATTGTGCAACAAAGAATGGCATTGGAAGAATTTGAATGTTGACCTCATGATTATGTCAAACCTATGGCAGTCAAGCCAATAGTTATTGAAACATTTCAGTAAACACCGTAAAAGTGAATCTAATATTGACGCTTGCAAAAAAGTCAGGGGATTATCACAGCCATAGAGGTGCATCTTCTGGGGACCATTCATATCTATACAAAGACTTTTGTTTGTCCAGCAGATGTTGAAATATTTCACAAAAAGCTTACGCATGGGGAATAATGTGAATCATTGTCACTATCTTAGTTTAGCATATTAGGATGCCAACATTTGCACATTTGAGACTTCCTGGAATGTCATTCATTTGTTTGTATTTTGTAACCAATAATAATATTACAAACATTTGACCTCATGATTGGCACAAGTTGTTATTTTGCAACCCAAAAATAAGCCAATAGATGATGAAACATTTCAGTAAAAACATGTGAATCTCATGTTGATGTTTGCGGAAAAGTATGGGGATCATCAAAGCCATAGAGATCATCATCTGGTGACCATGAACGGCTTTACAGTGTTTTGTGTCCATCCATCCAGTAGATGTTGAGATATTTCACAGCAAGCATGAGAGGAAAAGTCAGGGGAAACCAAAAGATTCATATTTTGGGACCATAATTGTTTTGAACCAACGCATGGACTCCGGATGATGAGATATTTCAGTCTGGACCAGAAACTTGTTAAATCAGCTGAATAAAAGGGCAAGATATTTAACACGAACATTTGATCAGAGTAAAATGCAGAGTCAATTGTTTATCCAGCTCTATTTCAACAGCTCTGTGATCCAGAGCGAGACAACATGAGCTACAGTGCTGCTGATACACTTCCCATCCCGTCACCCCAGGGCCTTGGACATCACCATTCTGCTGACAGCCTCCATACACAAAACACGAATGGATGCATTTATTTTCCACAGTCACAGTATGACAAAACATATATCCCCAGTCATCCATATTGTGTGCATTATGTATGGGGTTGGACAGAATATACAACCCCTCCTTCTGTCCTCCCAACATGTCCTCTGCAGCAGACCCCATTGAAGAGCCACATCTGCAGGAGCAGGCGCTGGCAGCATATCTGTGTTCAATTAGAGAGCAACATCCCCACCAAACAGTCCCGCAGCACATTTACCCCAACGTCTACCCTCCAGGGTGGAGCAGCAGACAGAATGTTCCCTCTCTGTCTCTCTCTTGCTGTTGTGTTTCCTCCTCTCCTTCATTAAATCAGGGACTTCACATGCATTAGTAAATACATTTGCGTGGCCCGAAGCTTTTTAATGTTCCACTGGGTTGAGTTGACAAGCCTCCTGGAAAATGTGGAGGTCTTGAAAAGCTCTTGTTTTTGACATTACATCTATACTTATGTAAAGCAAGAAAGAAAAAATGGAAGAAAAAAGAAATCTTATGCTCTGCTTCTACTGTGCAGAAGAGCAGAAAATAACCTAAACAGTCACATGACTCGCACAGCCACATGTTGCTTTGAACTCATGTGGCTTTGTTTTACTTGTATTCCTCGCCTCGCACGTCATCACAGAACCCACACATCGCCCTTTCTTCTTCACAGAGACCTCCCAAGATGGTGCAGATTGACATGCAATGATCTTCAGACACTCAATTTGGTCCGAAAATAAATGAGATTGTTTGGGGACAGGGATGAAATAACAGAAGAGGGGTGTGCTGTTTGTTCTCCTAAACAAAAACATATTTAAAATCCATTTCATGTATTTGTTGTTACAGCTTTTACAGGCTTCTGCAAACAATGATAACCACTATCTTTGCAAGAGCTTCTCTTTGCACTTTGTGTGGTAGGAACACTGAATGACGCACGAGTATGAACACGAGTGGAAAAAGGTTGATGGCAAAAGCTGCCAGTCTTTTATTTGTTCTGTCGTGCCTCTCTGTGCCTCTGCAGCTATAATACGGTGATGTATCCACATGTAGTCCTATCCTCCACAAGGAGCATCCATAATGAAGTGCATTAGTCCTGAATGTGTGTTTTTGTAGAGTAGGCTACAATGAGGAGAAGAGTGGAGGGATGAGGTGCAGGTAGAAAGGGTGCTGGTAGAAAAGAGCTCTTTGGAGAGTAATGTGTATACAATGGCTTCTCTTTGAAAAAGCAGCTGCTTGTTTCCCATACAGAAATATCGCTTTGCCATCACAGAAGAGTGAGGCAGAGTTGAAGTGCAGCGCTCCATAGCGGATAAGGGAGGTGCAGAATAGTGGGATTGTGTAGTTGTATCAAAGTGTGCAGACACAGGGGGAGCTTCACAGAAATCCCATATCATTAAAGGCTGGTCATTGATTCATTACAGAATATTATGTAGCAGGGGTGTTATTAAGTAAGGATGATTAGCATGACGAAGAGGAATATCATGTGAAGAGCAGGCGACGGTTTGTGATGCATGCCGTTAGCTTTTCCGAGGAGCCGATGGAATGATAATAGTGACGTGGAGGACCTCCGCTGCCTCATATCACGCTCAGTCATCTTCACACTCAGTAAAGTCAGCACATTTCTGCTGCCATTAAATGTACTATGGCTCATTGGGGAGTGACACCGCACACCATCAGTGTCATTGTAATGAAATTCAAGAAATATTCTCCTCTTTATGCTAGGAACAATCATTATTACTAAATACTCTATTTAAATGACTGGCATTACATGCTTGGAAGTCATGTATTATTCACCTCACTTCATCGAGGGACTAATGATTTTCTTTTTACCCAGAAGTCTACACTCCATCGGGCAACGGGGATAATTGTTCCCCCCAAATGGCTGTGTGATCAATTCAGCTTCGCAGACATTATTCTATCTCATGTACTTAACTTACAGGTCTGAAGTTAACAGGGCTTTACTTAGTGATGGCAGACATTGGTTGCAGTGACCCTGTAACCAGCGGCAACATTTTCTTTAGTTCAATATTCAGTGATGTGAGCTGATTTAAAAATGCACAGCGAAGAGCTCCTCACTGATTCACACCGTAGGCTATGAGGAGAGTGATGGGACATTTTAATAAGGACTCTGTGAAATCACATTTGCTCTCATGCATCGAGATCTTATTGGTGTTCTCTAGAAAAATCAGTTATTGCAATTATTGTTATCAAAACAAGCTGAAGCAATTCCACAAACTTTGACATTTTTTAAATGATTCAAATAATGTAAGTTCTCAGATATACGGACGCTCTGTGAATATTAAAAGACAAACACCATGCACTGCAGCAGGAATGCTAAATATCTTCTCACAGCAGTTTTGTTACACTTCAAACTGCATACATGTTGATTGAAATGTAATGAATGTTAACTGTTATTACTTTGTGGATCTGTGTAAGCTTTAGTCAGTCACTTATTCAATTAGATGCCACATTGTATTATGTCACATTGTCACTGTTTCATTTCAGAAGTTGCACAAATTCAGTGTTGGTCCGATCATCACTGCAGGTCACTGAACTGCAGCAGGGTTATTCTACTCTCAATCTTTTTGCTATTTTACAGTCATACAGTCCACCAAAATATTATATCAGTTTCTTCACCACTGCGTTTTCACAAAGTAAGCCACGGGAACATTTCGATTCAATTCAATTCAGGGACCTGCGATCAATTTGAGACGATATCATATGCCCATTTAACACAATAAGTTACTTCTAAATCAACTCACAAAAAGCAACTAAAATACGATTTGACAACTTTATTGCCGTCGTTTTAATTTTTTTTTTAAATAGACCCGTGTGTTGTTTACCATGACGTGCAACATTTGTCATGTTTAAACTATTTGAATGTCTAAGAAAGAGCTACTTGGATAGAAAAGATGTCAGGCGTACTATAGGAATTTCAAAATATAAGCATATCATGAAGATGACGATATGTGTCGATGTTTTCACTCCTTCCAACAACGTTATGGATCATTTATCACTCAATCGATCCATATCATTGTAGCCGGTGGGAGCTAACACTAACAAGCACACTAACAAGCACAGAGAGCCTGACATTAACACACACACACACACACACACACACACACACACACACACACACACACACACACACACACACACACACACACACACACACACACACACACACACACACACACACACACACACACACACACACACACACACACACACACACACACACACACACACACACACACAGTGAATTAGTTATCTGCTCAGGACACATTATTGCATAGCAAATAGTTGTTTGTTGCTATGTTGATGCTGTGAACACCATATATAGAAAGCGGTTTCAAGCTGTGGGTTGTTTTTGCAGGGCTCTCGAAACCACAGTTTGTTTTTAAGGACATCATAGAATTGGTAATCTCTCCCACTTGTTGGGGGAATTGCTTAACTTCTTGAAGGTCTTTCGGACTGCATTTGGCTCTTATATTTCCCAAAGCAATTATAGTCATAGTGAATTTAGTTGTCTTCCGCTCTCCATGGTGGGCTGTGGGGATTTTTCTTTTTTTACAGGATTGGGCTTCAGAGTGTTTGTATGCAGCTATTATGGTCAGAGACACAGCGCACTCTAGTGGTGATGGATGACACATCGCCCTCTGTGTTTTATTTGAGTGTTAAAAACAATGAGGCATACAAGCAGGTGTGTGTAATCGTTCCACTCCTCTCTTTTTTTCAGGGGTGTGTGAGTGCTCAGACTTCACCACTGGGATGACCTGTGAGCACTGCCTGGACGGTTACTACGGCAACGCTTTGATTGGCACGCCTGCGGACTGTCAGCATTGCCCTTGCCCGGACCGTACCAGCTGTGCCGAAATTGCTCAGACAGGACAGGTGGTCTGCACCAACTGCCCTGCAGGACAGACAGGTGAGACAATGTCTTTTCTTTTTTCTTTCTGGCACCACCCTCTCAATATTTCTCTTGAAGGAAATGATGAGAACAAAAAACCTAATTTGCAGTGATTCATTTGACAATGCCACCTGTGATTCACACATCTGATATTACATTTAGTTACATCAGAGTCAGAGGTGACATGGGGGATGACCTCCAACCTCATTCATTCATCCTGTCTTTTGTTTTCGCCTGCCCCCCCCCCCTGTCCCCCCCATGTAGGGATCCGGTGTCAGATGTGTGAAGATGGTTACTATGGTGACCCACTCGGACAATCTGGTTCAGCTCGCCCGTGTGTGAGATGCGACTGCAATGGTAACGTGGACCTCAACGCGCTGGGAGTGTGCGACCACCTCACCGGGCGATGCCTGAAGTGCCTGGGACACACAGAGGGAGAACACTGTGAGCGCTGCCAGAGGGGTTTCTACGGCGACGCCCTCAACCAGACAGCTGTGCAGAAGTGCAAAGGTGAGTAACTGAGGAGAGACTCATGCTAAATCATTATTTATGTAGAGGTGGTGAAAGAGAGCGATTCTATTTTGGCCTGAGAAGTCCCTCCTAAAAATGTACTTTACTTCTACTACTGTTGTTTGAGCTTCCCGCTGCAGACACTAAAATAACTGCTGTTTTTCATACAACTTTCACATATAATCCATTAATCTGTGCTCATCTTAAATCTGAGTTTCGGATGTGTACACTGAGCATGACTTGTGACAAAACAATTGATTGGATGTCAATCATGGTGCAATGTGCAAAAATCGGAATCGGAAATCCTTTACTGTATATGTCCTAAAGCGGGAAATGTACAATGTTATATCAAATTGGACGGAACAATTAATGACAAAATAAAAGATTAAAGGGGCTCTATTATGCTTTTGGAGTTTTTCCCTTTACCTCTGGAACATAGTCACATCAATATGTAACACTCAAGATTCTATTGGCTAACGCTCCAACACATTGTATGTGATAAGGCTAAGGGGCGGGACATCTCTAAGCGGTTGGACAATCACCACATAGCCGGCCAGCTAACCAATCAGAGCAGACTGGGCTCTGGTTTCAGACAGAGGGTGAAAAGAGGTGCTGCAGCACAGGCAGTATGAGAAAAATAAAGAGCTTTCTGAACATTAAAGCATGGAGACATGTCCCAGTAGAGACACTACATACTGATATGAACCTGAATATGAGCAGGATATGCCCCCTTTAAACTAACATATTAAATAAAGAAGCAAGCACATGTTAATATAATCAAAATAAAATATGTACACATCCAAGAGAGAAAAATATAAGGAGCAGCATTATAAGTTAGTGAAACAAATGTAATGAAGTCCTGCCAACAGAAGAAAAGGAAACGTTAGGGCCTATAGGAACAAAGAATTGGTGCCATTTTAGGAATTAACTGAAATATGATGTAAAAAGGAACCATATCTTTATATTTTTTATTCATAGCTGCTTTTGTTTTTCTATTTATCTTCAAACATTCCTGGAGTGTATCTTCACAAATCCTTGAGTCCTCTCTTAAGACATGCACGACATGCCATGGAAATACCTTTAAGGATTCAAATGTTTTTGTTCTCTGCAGCGGAGTCAAGTAATAGTCGAATTCCATGAAAGATTACATAGCCTTGAGTCTAGCTTTTAAATGAACTTGACAACTCAATTCTGCAGTTCACGTTGGACTCTTTAGTCATGAAAGGCAAAAGCTTAAAATGGGGTGTAGAAATGGCAGAGTCAGAAAGATATCTTCAAGAAAAGGAAAAGATAAAAAGGTCTTTGGGTTCAGAGAATTTAAAAAGTGTTTAAATGTAATGAAATGTTGAGATAGGACTACACAGACATACCCTACGTCTAATAGCTATGATATGTTCATCCTCTGACTTTCTAATAATACTTCATTTCTACCTGTACGCCCCGGGATGAGTTTTTGTACAGAACAATGTCAAGGAAAGATCCAGGAGTCTCTTTGGTGCTGTCTTTCATTTTCTTCCATTTCCTCTTCCTCAAGCAATGGAGTGAAATCAATAAAAAAGTCCTCCATGCTAAGGTGATACACTGCCAAAATATGAGCAGTTACCAATGTAATATTTTCATTCTTGTTATATAAAAAATGTTTTATTTGTTTCTTCTAGCGTGCAGCTGCAGTCCTGGAGGAACCTCTGGCTATGTGAATGAATGCCACCCTCACACAGGAAACTGCATGTGCCTCGGTCACGTGACCGGACGGGACTGCAGTTATTGTGAAATGGGCTTCTTCAACCTCCAACCAGGCGTAGGATGTGAGAGGTATAAACACCTGTCATTAGCTAGGTAGATTTGTTGATAAGACAAATGTATATACAGCATCTCATATAATATCTATATAATTTCACAGGAAACAGCTTAATGTGGCTTTGTGCAACAAATATACTTAGTTAGTTTGGAAAAAAGATTGTGTTTTAGGGTAAAATAACTATGAAGGTGGCAAGGTTACGTGACAAATTACTTTGGCAATTATATCAATTCTGGTTTCAAATGGGATACACAGCCATATCCTGGTTGAAATCCCTCTATTATTGAGACATTTTCCTGCCTCTCTTAGGTGCAGGTGTAGCCCTATTGGCTCAGCGTCCGACGCTTGTCATCCAATCACAGGGCAGTGTGTGTGTCGTGCAGGAGTGGAGGGGACGCTGTGTGATTCTTGCCGAGTGGGCTTCTTTGGATTCTCGTCACGAGGTTGCAGAGGTACAGGGCTTTACTGCAGGCATCCTCTAATCCTCGAATACACCTTCCAACACAGATCCCACATGAAGGCATTTCTAACTCTTCAAATGTTTACCTCTGCCCCCCCACCCCCCTCCCTCTTCCTGTGCCCCCCCCCCCCCTGCTGTCCTCTGGCCTCTCGCAGCCTGTAACTGCGACCCCATGGGCTCCGTCTCCATGCAGTGTCACGGTAACGGGACCTGCCACTGTCGCCAAGGCTTCGTGGGTTACAAGTGTGACAAATGTGAGCTGAACTATTACCACAGCAGAGACACCCACCAGTGTGAGGAGTGCCCCGTTTGTTATGGCCTTGTGAAGAAACAGGTGAGATTATGGTTGTTTGTGTAATAACCGTTATTTGTGGGAATTTTCAAATTCTACAATTTTCCAGTGATTTTTAACATGCATTACTGGTTTTTTGGGCATGGTTCGACCGAAACGAGCAAAACATTTAAACATCAGAATACCATTGAAGTTGTTATGGCCAACTTGTTGCCTGCAGCAGATATGGACAGCAGTAAATCACTTCATAAGTAATCAGCCAAATTGGTACAACTGCAAAGCCTAGTAGCCCTTTAATTTACCCAGTGCACATTGCTTCCCCTAAACCAGGGGTCGGCAACCTTTTTGATATGAAGTGCCATTAAAAAAAAAAAAATTCATCAGCGTGCCGACGATCGTGAATTATCAACGGGGGGGGTGAAGAGCTCGACGCTCGTGAACTGTCAACAGGAGGGCGGGGGGAGCCTCGCTGCGGGGAAGCAGTGTGTGGACCTGTCAGCGCAACTTACATGATGCCGAATTTAACAAACAAATTTAAATAACTGGTTTGAACGGCATAATAATAAGGACGATCGTCCGTTCTGTGATTCTCCAGAACACACAGATGGCCAGTCCGCCCCTGTGTAGCATGTTATTTCGATGAGAGATGAGCAGATCGCCACTGGGCTTTCAACTAAAGACACAGCCACGTAAAAACTGTGGCATTTGTACAGCTCCTTATGGGTACTGCAATTTGTGAAGTGCTTTCCTCTGTGGTGAAACGATCAGTACTGCACCACGGAGGAAAGCGGCAGCAAGTCACCTGGAGTTAAAGAGAGCGGGGCTGCGCTGCGTGCATGGCTTCCTTCTGCAGGTAACGGGGAGACGCGCTCTGGCAGCGGTCTCGTTCAGGATCAGAAAATAACATTTAAATATTTTGCACACTTCTTCCACTTATTCCTAGTTTGCCACTGGTTACGGTTGCCGACCCCTGCCCTAAGCCCTTTATGTACGAGCCCCCAAATAGGTTGCAGTGAAAAGAATTAGCATTTTCATTATGTATCAATAAATGTATCATATGTATTGGATAGGGCAATTCATACCTAAATTAATTTAGAGATTTTTGAGGGGGCACAAAAGATCATTTGGACAGGCATGTACCCCATGCTGCCTGCTCTAGTTGAATAAGTTATGGGTGCATTTCCTCACATACACTCGAATCAATGGTTCAAATACATTTGATGCAAGCTTTACAGTTTGCATGATCAGATCTATTTCCCGAGCAAAATAACTGCTCCCTTCTCCAATTTGTCAAATCTGCCATTTATAAAGCAATGAGTTGTCATCCTGATCCCTGATCGTTTTTAATTAATTTGTTGGCAAAAACTGACCAATATAGAGTACAGACTAAATACAACCCCTTTGCCCTTGAGGCTTACAATGAGCCCAGATTATACTCTGTAACTTGCAAAAGTGTGGTAGATTGCGCTGTAGAAGCACTCACAGCATGCATTTCCACTATATATTGTTCATATAGTGCCCACTGTGTCTTAACGAGCCCTCAGTTTTGGGGTACTTACTGACCAGCTACAGCTAGCTTAACATTGACTGACCACAGCAGCACTTTAAAAAGTCCCTTAGGTACAGCAGATTTTAAAGAGTGTTTCTTTCCTGCTGAAAACAGCAAACTGATTCACCCAAACAGCGATATGAGTGTGCTGAGAGTAAACCAAAACAGCCATGTGGAAAGAAGCTGAAAAGCTCTGTATAGCTGAGACTGGGTAAATGTTTCATGATTACAAATGACTTTAGCTTTCTTTTCCTACTCTATTGAAACATATCAAACTCCAGGAGTGCATCGTATTTTAGCCTTCTAGTCTTGATTTGATTGGGACAAACGACTTTTGTCTTTACTGATTCATCTTCTAATTCTGATTTGAATACATACAACCTTTAAAATACCTATAAAATACTAAAAGATGACCATCACAAGCTTCTGAGCAATAATTATGCTTCATTGAAATGAAACTTGGGATAAAAAGCTGCTAATCCTCTCATATGTGAATGCGGAAGCTGTGTGTTTTATTCTGATAAATGTTGTCTTGGCTCTGCATTTGTATAGCTAGGTGCAATTTGTTGTTGAAAGAGCACAGTCTGCCCTGCAGGCTGCCTTCCTGGACCCCCATGAAAGCCTCATGGCTCCTTTGTATTTGTAGATTGCAAGCAAACAGTAGATGTGCAGTGAAACAGAAAGAGACGTTTGCCCTAATGCTCTCCTGTGCAGCTTCTTTCTGTCCCTTTAGATTTGTTGCAACCCACGTCTGTATGCTAAGGTGCTTCGCCCCTGGATTCGCCTCCTGAAGCCAATTCAATAGCAGCGGCATGTTCTGTCTTCTCCCTGTACATATTCTAAAGTGGCTGTGTGTTCTCTCCGGACTGGCTTGTACCTGTGTGAATGCATGCAGTGATTTCCACAGTGTTAGCAATTCAGTGAACATCCCAAGCCTTGTCTGCTCCAAACACCTTCAATTACTCCTCAGTCTCCCCCAAGCTCTTCTTTTCTGCCTCGCCCACTCTCTCTGTCTCCGCTCACAATGTCATCTGGCTGTACACGCAGAGAGGTGAAGACTAACGAGGGAAAAGGGAGGAAGGTTGGGAAAAGACAGAGATTTGCGATCGATGATCAAGAAAGATATGAAAAAGACTCAGGAAAACAGCAAAATAAAGAAATTATTAGAGGTATATTTGATACCTCTAGTTAAAAGCAGTAGTGCACACTATGTTAAAGCATTTGAAACTAGTGGTAGATGGACTGAAGATGCAAACCAATTAACACCTCAGTTATCAGGTAATAAGATCAGCTGTCAGAGATATTTCTGCTCCCGGTGAACACACCTTATAACCTCACACACGTCCAACATGCCTCCTGCTTTGAAAAAGGAGTGTGATTACAGTCTCTTGTTGTATCCAGACCATTAAAGGGTCAACACATCTGAGCCCCTTCATTCCTCTCTCAGACCTCCATTCTCCAATAAGTCTAATCCAGTTATGTCCTGATATGCCTTCTCTGGCCACATGCTTTGCAGAGAACAGTCTGACTGTATGTGGATGTGGAAACAGTGTTCTATCCTCATCCTGTTATTGATATTCATTTATTCATTGCTTTTGGTGAAATACTAAATGTTGATATCCTGGTGTACCGAGAATCAAAGTCCTATCTCAATGCCTGTGTCTGAATAAATAAATAAGAGCTGGATAGATATCTCTTTTGTTGCTGTAGTGTTGTTGTTTTTAGTTCTTGCTAAATCTGTATTCTCACTGACGGTGATACATCTTGCTGCTGTTACAGGCAGAGGAGCTGAGGACGCGCCTGCAGGACTTGGAGAAGCTGCTGGCTCACTTTGATTGCCGAGGTAGATTTGGGAAGCAGCACCACCTGCTGAAGTATCACATGGCCAAGCTATATGAGCATGAGCACCAGAGGGAGGATTCTCTACCCAACGCTCTGGAGGATTTTCTAGCCTTCCAAGGTAACAGCAGCCAGAAGCCCAGATAATTCCACTTGGCCTGACCCCCCCCATTTAATGTTTCCTATGTGGTGGTCACGCGAGAGACAGCCTTTGCCTTGTGAAATGTGAAGCCAGTTATGTGCCATTGTTAGTATCGTGTCATGTTTTTTTCTGCGCGATGATAACATGCCATATCAGTGCCTACAAGACCAGCGAGCAGGGCTAAGAGATTTGACATCAAACCGCCCACGGCTTTCTGCAAAACGGGCTGTTGCTCTGTCTGTGTCCTCAGAGTTAGAGATACAACACAATAAAGCGATTAAATCAGGAAGCAGACAACAGTACAAACCTCTCCCAATTACTTTAACACAATGCTGATATATCCTCATTATCTTTGGAGGGGAAAGGGCTTACAGGCTCAACTGCACAGGCCAAATGGAGACAAATCATAACAATATAAAACAAGGCGCAGTGTGACCAACTTAATCCCTATTTATGTGACAGGCGGTGTATCTAATCCCTGGTTTATTATGATTATAGTTGCAATCACGATAACCATTGTCTAACAACCCCTGTACCAACACCCTCATACTTACACACACATACACGCACACACGTGTCATTAGCAGCCATGCTCTTTATGACACTGGGAGGCCTATTAATGATTTAATGAGCATGTGTGGGAAAACACCAGCGCTCACACTTTTTATCTGCCATTTTATATGACAAAAAGTCACAGAGGCAAGCGATCACGCACAATGCAGCAACACACATGACATAAAACACTGTGTGCCTGTGGATCCTTGATTTTTATGTATTTGTTGCTATTTTATTATACTATATATATACTATAATATAGATATTATATAGTGTAGTTTATGGTGTAAATGTTTTCTTATGTTTATACAATTGTATTTTTTTTTTTATCTTTTCATTGTAAACCTTTATATAAGTATTTTTATACAATATTTTATTTATATTTTATTTTATTCCAAAATAAAGCAACTATCACAAAAAAACGTGTTCTCCAAAAAGGTATACTGATTTTGATGATTCTGATTCTGAAAAGGCATTTAATATATTGAGTATATTTTAATAGTCTTAAAAATGCAAAATAACATAAAGTTCTATTCATGGTTTCTTTTACTGATGTTGCGTTGTTTAAACCCCAAAATAATTGGTACTATCTCATTTAATCTAATAATTATTAGCGTCTTGCACAAATGACAAGGAGATGAGAGTAAAGCGGAAAATTATGTGAAAAATTTGAATTAAATGTCATTGCGCCAGGCATTAAAAAAGTCTTAACTGCAGAAACCCTGTTGTACTAATTGGTAATACTCAGCTCCACTGTGGATAGGCCGCCAGTTAGAATTCACTGAGACAAAATTAACTTGAAAAAATTCTCTCTGGTTCAGTTTTCTTTCTCACATCAAACACAGGAAAGACACACAGTGGGTGAGAGAGATGTGTTTTTAACTCCTGCATTCTAGCTGCAAACAGTCGGAAGAAAATTGTACTTGCTGAAATAATCAGTGAATAACTTAATGTGCTTTTATTTGCTTTGTGCACTTTGTTCTTGCAGAGGCGCGGGAGGCCTTCATAAAGCAGTTTTCCTTGCTGGAAGCGTCCGCTGGCTCCTTGTTAGCCCAGCTGAATGGCATTACAACCACTTTGAACTGCAGCCTCAGCATGACAGAGATGGAGAGCGGGACGGATGAAGGGAGCAGGGGTGTGTGTCAAGCCTTCACTGACACACTGTTCATTGTTAGGGCGTCTCAGAAACAGCTAAAGCAGGCGACACTGGACCTGGACAGCATGGTAGGCGAACCAAACACATCCTGTCCTCACCATTGTGTATTTACTCCACAGAGCTCTTGTCATTTCCACGTATTTCATTGCAGAAAATGCTCCAGGTAGCTGTAACATAAGAGTTCACCCAGTCCACAAGCATACTGATATTGTTTGTAACACAATTGATTTGTTTGTCCTTATTATGGGATGCTGCAGTTTACTCCTCTTGGTGGAGCTGCTCTGTATAGATCCTCAAAGAACCCCGATAGCAAAACAATATGTCATCCTCCACCACCCTCCACCAGAAAAGCAAAGGAACGTTTGATAGACGCTAAAATTAGTGTCACTGCGGCACTTTGCAGGAATGTATTACAGATACCGCCGCTGTGTTATTTAGGTTTCTGGAAGATGAGAGAGAGCTTGTTTTGCCAATATATAACACTCTATTTCTGATTGTGTGCACACCACAGCCCTTATCACTTGGGTAAGCCTGAAGCTGCAGCAATTTAATTCCATATTAATAAGCCGAGCAGCCACCCAAAGATGAAGAACAAATGCAAGCACTGCAATTGTTGATTTCAGTTTTATTTGCATTTTCCTAAATTAAATGTACCCTGGAAAGCATTTGACTGTATACACATAACATTTATCAAGTCAAAACTTCAGGGGATTTATTTTGAGAGAGGTTCCTTCAAATGCTCCTGCTTTGAACGTTATATTTAATAGGAGAGGTTCATTAGAGGAACTCATTATTTGCAGAATGAAAGCCTCTGTTTTGAGGCTTAGTTATGACTTCAGTCCAGCAAAGCAATCAAAATATAGCAAAATGAACCTCTACACTTACAGATATGTTTTTAAAAATGTCCGCCCTGATTTTAATAACAGCTTTCCCACGGAGCCACGATTATCTAAGCAGACAGTGCTGAGTCTAAAGAAAAACTCAGCTGTGAAAGGTTCCTTAATTACTACATGGAGACTTGAGTTCACATGATTTAATTAAACAGTCGAACAGTCTGAAAAGTCCCCACGAGGCCAAACTTATTATTTTTTCATGTCTCAGACCCCCTCAGCATGTTGCTTTTGCCTTATTCATAGATCATTCCTTTTGAGATGGTGTCAGGCCCTAACAAATGGAACACGATGGTCAATGACTCACAGGCCCTACTGAAAAGGTAAGTCAGGTCACTGCACCTACTATAAGAAAATAATAATAAAGCTTTACTTATTTAGCACTTTTCATATAGCAGGTGCAGCTCAAAATACTTTACAAAATGGCACACATCACAAATCAAAACAAAGAACAAGACATTCCCCTCAGTTCAGATGGTAAGACTTTAGGAAACATGTAGCATAGCAAGCAAATATAACAGTTTAACAGTTTAAAAGACACAAGGAGGTAAAAGGTATGATATTACAAATGAAATACAACAAAATAAATAATGATTCTCTAAAGGTAAAGGTAGACATAACACGCTAATGTCGCTAATCAAAAGCTAATCTAAAAAGATGGCCTGGGAGAAAAGCTGGATGGATAGTAATGTGTGAAACTTGGTCTATCCTTGCCTTCTCCTCTTGGCTCACCGCTGACACTGTGGTTATGCAATTGTGAATCGATGCCCTGGGCTACTCCGAGCATGCAGCATTGTTACGTGGTAGTTACAGAAATGTGGACCGGAGAGCCAGAGAGGGGGAAGTTGTCGATGCTGAAATCCATTTCATCTGTCCTCAGGCGGTTGTAATGGTCTGTTATTCTATGTTACTCACTTCCTCTGTTTTTTCCCCATCCCTTTTAGTCAGAGAGAAATGGCAGAGCACATGGAGGCCGTAGCCAGCAGGGCGGTAAGAGCCTCGGAGCAGACCTTCAGCTTCCTGATGGATCTACTGCAGGACAACTCCACAGAGGAGTACATCAGGAGCCTAACGGAGCAGTGAGCACAATAACCAATCCTAACACACGCCCACCCAGACAAACACAAGCAGGAAGAATGCCTCCCATTCACATAAAGCTTACCGTTTGGCGCCATCCCAACACGCTGCATGACTCTGTGGATTATTGTGCTTTCTCACTTTATTTTCTCACACAGTGCACCTATGTATTACAACTCAAACTCCTCTTCCTCACAGCAGCCTGTTAGAGCACATTGGAGTTTAGGAGTAAGACATTTAGCCACAGGGGGACAGCTTCTCTCCACTGTAAGCCTATTGCCTTCTCGGATTTGCAGCACGCTCGCTGCATCTCCTAGCGTGTGATTGCTCCGAGGATTATCCTGAATGCTCGACAGAATGATGCAAAAAGCCCTCCGGTGGCCATGATGAGAGCAGGGAGCGAGGAAACTCCAAATTGATTACCCCCTCCTAACAGTAGTCAGCATGGTCCAGAAGGGCTCTGTTAATCTTTGGAGAACTGCGTTATGACAGTGTGTGTATGTGAGTCAGTGTGTGTGTGTAGCTTTATAGGATATGAATTGAGTGGTTTATGCACAGATTGGCAACATTAAATCGCATTTCCCCAACATATTTCCCCATGTGTTTGGACTTAAGCAAATCACATGCATTTTAGACGCAGGGCAGTCTGAAGTATTCACACATTCAGCCACAAACAATAGGCCTCTATTAGAAGGCTTCAGATATGACCAATATCTATTGCAGTATTGCTTTTGCTAGAACAACTAAAATGACAACGGTTCACTTATTACCAATATTCAACCTCTATTTTAAATTCAGCTGCAGTAAAATCAGAAGAAGAGTGACATTGTACCGCCTAAAAAAAGTCTGTTATGAACGGCGAAGCGACCCAGGAGCTCGAATATATATTACAAAAAAGAAAAAACCTTTATTGAATATCCTTAAAAAGCCAGCCTTCGTTTGCTCTTACATTTTCAAGTGCCTGGATTGCATTCCTGGTAATCCTGTTTTCCAAGAGCATAGAAATCATTTTGGATTTACCGTTGAGTTTACAGAACATTGAGTCATCTTTTGTTCCTGACGATTAATCGGTTATCAAAATAGTTGCAAAGGATTTCCTGTTGATCCACACAACATTTATTTGTCAACTTACACTACTTTTGCAGCTCTAGTCTCGGGGCTCTGAAGTGGAATTCTGAATCACTGCAACAAAAAAAGGTGAACCACTGGAAATCAGCAAAAGCTTGCAAAAGCAAGTAGCGATTTTTCGGCTAAACTGAAGTCAAAATATCAAATCTTACCAAAAAAACGAAACTTTGAGAGAAGCCCCAAAAGTCAGGGACATTTTGGTAGCGGAGCAATATTTTCCTTACATCCAGGAATATTATAAAATCCTCATGCAACCCTTCCAAATGTATCTTGGCACCCTTTGGCATTGTCTGGTCCCTTAGATAGGGAACTCTTGACCAGCTACAACAGTAAAATATTACTTATCTATCAGTCCTAATCTAAAAATGTAATATTTAATCATATATTTGTCACAGAGGTCATTTTTCTGCGGAACTTTAGCTTATCCTTCTGATACTTACAGTAAAGTACATTTCTATAATACTGGTTTGACTTATAATGGAGTATTTTTACATTGTTGTATTGATATTTTTACTTTACCTGACAATTGCAATATGACTTGTTTTAAAAGCTCCTGACAAACTACCTACAGCATTCTTGAGTTTTACCAAAACATGATCAATTAATCAATTAGTTTCAACTTCCCAAAATGCATATGGTTTTTGCTGAACACAGGATACAGAAAGAGAAAGTGACACAATGTGAATTCTGTGTCTGTTGAGGCAAAACAGATTCATTACAGCTGTGGAGGTGATACAAATGGCACTGCACTGTGTCTAACACCTTTCATGAATTCATGCTTTCTTCGCACACTGTTGCTTTATCTTTTAATCCTCTTTACTCACTTATAACAAGCTGCTTTGTCTTCCCCCCAGATTTATATGGATTTCAATATGTCACGGCACAATGCTTTTCACATTTCTCTAGCCAAAGATATGAAATGTAATGTGCTGAATGATGTGCAACATATGTGCGGCTGTAATGATACTGCACTATAGAATCTCTTACCTCCTTTTCATCATCTTTACATTAATAAAACATCAGATCAACAGAAGAAATGGGGCTATAGATTGGTGCAGGAATGAGCCGTAAACCCTGAAATCACTCAGTATTTGACCACTTCTGGGTTCCTTCTTCTTAAGATTGGTTAGATGAATAAGCTCTATTGTTAACACAAGCTAAAGGCATTTTAAAGTGTCTTTTTTTTTTTGCTTTTAGGGTTTTCCCTCTCCTGTAGTGTGTTCTATAGGTTTGATGCTAAATGGTCTGCAAAGGCTGGAAACCCTGAGTTCCCTCCAGAGGGAGTTTCCCTCCCACACACTCCCAAAAAGCCTCCATTGGACTCCTTTGTTTACTTTTGTAACATAATGACATCACTATGTAACGTTCTTGCGTTTGGATTGCACTCAAACACATTGTACGTGAGAGGCTAAGGGGCGGGACACAACAGAGCCGGCCAGCTAACCAATCAGAGCAGACTGGGCTCTGGTTTCAGACAGAGGGTGAAAAGAGGTGCTGCAGCGCAGGCAGTATGAGAAAAATAAAGAGCTTTTTGAACATTAGAGCATGGAGACATGTCACAGTAGAGACACCACATACTGATATGAACCTGAAAATGAGCTTAATAGAGCCTTTTTAATGATTCTACGACATATAATATGTCAGTAAGTTCCCCACTCGTAAACTTTTGAAGCTTCTGTGTCTTAAAAACTGCAGTTGCTAACAAGTGACTAAATGAGACAACTTAAAGTCATTACGTTGAACATTAGCTGTCTTTAGCTTAGCGGTGGTGACGAGAAGTCATGTGACCGTAACATAGTTTGTTGGAATTTAGGCTTCAACTATTATAAAAGGGGTGTTAGTGGATATTATCCAGCTGAACAAAAGTATCATAAATGTGTGTTTTCTACAGAGCTTATTTTCTGCAATATTCCAAATTCCAATGGAAAAATCCCACTGATTTATATCGAGGTAGCCCTATGATGCTAACCCCGGGGTTGGCCGACAAAAATACATCATGTCTGAACCAATCTAATGCAGTAGAATATATTTTACAACATTGTCTCATCTCTGTCTCTCAGAATAACCCAAATGCAGCAGCAGAAGGGGAACCTGACAGTGCAGGTGAATGAAACTGCAGCCAAACAGCTGGCCCTGGAGGAAGAGGCTGCAGGCATGAAGATCGCCCTGGGTAACATCACATCATCCTTACATCAGCTGGCTCTGACTGAGGCCAGCCCATCAGCAGAGCACAACCAAACACATGCAGCCAAGCACACCACAGAGGTCAGTCTGCGCAGCACCTGCAGGGTACACACTGAATGTGAAGCATTATTATGTCACATTAGAGAGCCATGAGTGAATCATTTAGTCTTATTACAGCCGGCTTGATAGCTGCACATATTATATAAGGAACCATTCCAGCACATTTAACTAAGCTCATATACGGATACAAGTAGCTATCATTTTATGACGAGTGGGCAGTTAACTCCTCATCATTTTTTTGTCTTGATGATTTAACATTTGGCAAGCAGAGGGGGACACTGAGTAGGCACAAGAGAGAGGATCCTGGCAGGGTTTGCTGCTCATGGGGGTACATGTTGTTCCAGAGGAGGGTGATTAACCACTGCAGCGGCTCTGAGCACACCAAACATTGTAAAACAACACAGAAATAGTTCCCTAATATTCCCTCTGCAAATGGCTGATTAAAGGTTGAATGTTTTGCAAAGATGAGAGAGAAAGCAAAGCGAGATTTGTTGTAATGAAAGCATTCAAGTGGTGCGTTTCTTCTTCCTGTTTAGTGGGGCGAAGACCTGTTAAAACAGACGGAAGAGCTGGACCGGCAAATTCAGACCAAAGACAATCTCGTGAGGAAGATGAGAGAAGAGATGGAGCCTCTTAAACAAACTGCCAATAAGAAACTGGAGATCGAGGAGGCCATCAGTGAGGTGACTAAATGAAATCAGCATGTGGCTTGATGTCTAAACACATTGAATGTTTATTGAATTGTCATATGAAATGCTTACGGTTTATTAGCCATGCTAGTGGCTGAATGTGTGGTTTTGTAGTTCTGATGGTCCACTACTTTTGATGAAAATCACTCAATGACTTTCACATGGATTGACTTTATATTTAGTACGCACATTAAAGACCAGAGTCCAATCCGTGGTATTGAATGAAGTGTCTCGTCAACTACTTGGTACATTTCCATGATACTTGGCACAGACATTCATTTTTACCTCAGGATAAGTTGTAATAACTGTAATGATACCTTGAATTTCAATATAGCTCAATACATTACATTACAATCAACGAAACTAACTAATGACGGTCATTTGTATTGATTGATGAACATTAAATGATAGCATACCAACACACTAAACAGCAGGTATAATGTACCTCTCTGGTTGCTAAAATAAGTATGTATAGAAGTCTATGAAATAATGACCGGCCTTCCAAGGTTCAAGGTTCAAGGTTCAAGGTTCTTTATTGTCAATCTGACATAGCTACAGAGTAATTATGCAGTTGAAAATCTTATGTCACAGGCTTCTCCAACAATGCAACATAATAACATAACATAATAACAATAAGAGCAAGAGCAATACAAAAATAATAATAGTTATAAAAATGAAATAAAGTTATGATGTGGAATAGTGCAGTATGAGTCTATATACAAGTTATTGGAATGATATATATATATTAGGTATTAGATACATACTACTGAGTAGCAGTTGAATGTTTGAAGTTGTTTCAACAGTTCAATTTTTTAACAGTCTCACTGCCCGCGGGAAGAAACTGTCTCCGAATCTTCTTGTCCTTGCCAGGATGCTGCGGTAACGTCTGCCAGACGGCAACAGAAAGAACAGTTTGTGGCTGGGGTGATGGGGGGTCTTTGATAATCCGTAGTGATTTCTTCCTGAGCCGCTGGGAGTAAAGGTCCTCCATGGATGGCAGCTCCGTCCTGGTGATGTGCTGTGCAGTTTTCACCACCCTCTGTAAAGCCTTACGATCGAGGTCGGTGCAGCTGCCGTACCAGGCCGTCATGCTGCCAGTGAGGATACTCTCTATCGTGCACCTGTAGAAGTTGCAGAGTATCCTGGAATCCATTTTGAACCTCCTCAGCCTGCGGAGGAAGAAGAGCCGCTGTCGAGCTTTCTTGGTGATGGTGGTGGTGTGAAGAGACCATGTCAGGTCCTCAGTGATGTGGACCCCAAGGAACCTGAAGCTTTTGACTCTCTCCACCGTAGTCCCATTGATGGCGATGGGGGCGTGTCCCTCTCCCTGCTGCTTCCTGTAGTCCACAATCAGCTCCTTTGTTTTGCTGATGTTGAGATGGAGGTTGTTCTCCTGGCACCAAGATGTCAGGTTTTCGACCTCCTCTCTGTACGCCGTCTCGTCATCGTCTGTGATCTGGCCGATGACGGTCGTGTCATCAGCAAACTTCACGATGGTGTTGGAGCTGTGTGTGGCCACGCAGTCGTGGGTGAACAGGGAGTAGAGGAGAGGGCTGAGCACGCAGCCTTGAGGGGCACCGGTGTTAAGAATCAGGGTGGAGGATGTGATGTTTCCCACCCGCACTGCCTGGGGTCTGCCCGTCAGGAAGTTCAGGATCCAGTCGCAGAGGGCGCTGTTGAGCCCGAGGTCTCTGAGCTTGATGGCCAGCTTGGAGGGCACAATGGTGTTGAATGCTGAACTGTAGTCAATGAACAGCATTCTCACATATGTGTTCCTGTTCTTCGGGTCCAGGTGTGAGAGGGCAGTGTGGAGGGTGAGGGCTATGGCGTCGTCTGTGGACCTGTTTGCTCTGTAGGCAAACTGCAGGGGGTCCAGAGATTCAGGGAGGGAGGAGGTGATGAATAATTTGACTAACCGCTCAAAGCACTTCATTATGATGGAGGTGAGTGCTACTGGGCGGTAGTCGTTGGGGCAGGTGATGATTGTCTTTTTGGGGACAGGAATGATGGTGGAGTGTTTAAGACATGTGGGGACTACAGACTGCAGCAGGGACCTGTTGAAGATGTCTGTGAACACCTCTGCCAGCTGAACTGCACACACCCTGAGAACACGGCCAGGGATGCCATCAGGTCCAGGAGCCTTGTGTGGGTTAACCCTTTTAAAGGATTTACACACATCTGCCCTATTTAAAACAAAAGGGCAGTGTAGCTCCTGGTCCCTCTGTACCTCCACAGCCTGGCTGCTCTCAAAGCGTGCAAAAAAACTGTTTAGCTCATCTGGGAGAGATGCGCACGCAGACACTCCCGCAGCACCCCCCGCTGCTCCTTTGTAGTCAGTCATTGTCCTTAGTCCCGCCCACATATTCCTAGTGTTACAGCCTTTGAAGTCAGATTCCACCTTCTCTTTGTACTGTCTCTTTGCATTTTTTATTGCTCTCCGGAGATCATACCTAGACTTCCTGTACTCCTCCAAATCTCCCGCTGTGTGCGCGAGAGTGCGCGCTTTCAGTTTGCCGCGCACCTCACCGTTTACCCAGGGCTTTTGATTTGGGAATGTCCGTACAGAAACCTTCGGTACCACGTCATCGATGCATTTCCCAATGTAGCAGATGACAGTGTCCGTGTGTGTATTGATGTTATTGTCCTCAAACACACTCCAATCCGTAGATGCAAAGCAATCCTGCAGTGCTGAATCTGACTCCTCGCTCCATCGTTGTACTGTCCTTGTTATCGGTCTGTCCCTTTTAAGTTTCTGCTTGTAAGCAGGCAACAACAGTAGTGAGATATGGTCTGATTTGCCGAAGGGAGGGCGAGGGAGAGCCTTATATCCATTCCGGAAAGGGGAATAAACATGGTCCAGTATGTTTCCCCCGCGCGTCGGGAAGTTGATGTGTTGGTAATATTTTGGCAAAACCTTCTTCATGTTGGCGGTGTTGAAATCTCCGGCCACAACGAACGCCGCATCTGGCCGTGAAGTCTCGGTTTTATCAATAAACCCAAACAGCTGATCGAGTGCCGTGTTGTTGTCGGCGAGTGGCTGCGGCGGGATATACACTGCTGTTATCACAACAGATGTGAATTCCCTCGGCAGATGGAAGGCCCGACATGAGATCATGAGGTGCTCTAGCTGTGCGGAACAGTCCGATGAAATAATCTTCACATCTGAGCACCAGTTGTTGTTAGTCATTACACACACACCGCCTCCCTTACTTTTCCCCGAGTTTGCAGTCCGGTCCTGACGAAAAATAGAGAATCCGTCAGGGACAATAGCGGAGTCCGGGATAGCGGGGTTGAGCCAAGTCTCAGTGAGAATTAACACGTTACAGTTCTTAATGTCCCGTTGAAAAGCAATCCGGCTTCTGAGTTCATCTAGCTTATTTTCAATGGATTGAACATTAGCCAGAAGAATACTCGGAAGAGGGGGCCGATTCTCACGTTTTCTCAGTCTGACCAGCAACCCGGCCCGGCATCCTCGCTTTGTCTTCTTCTTGCGTCTCTCAGGTAGAACAGCAACAGGTAGCCATGGTGAATCTCCATTGTCTGTCGGAGGGTTAATATTGTCCACGAAGTTTCGCAATTGGAAAAGTTCCTCTCTGCTATATTGTATGGCAGAGTAGGTGCGGTCGGCTAGCATGTTGCGAACCATGTTAAAAGTAAAACGGCAAAAGTAAAAGAAATATGTACAAAATACGAAAATGGGCAAAGTTGGAGAGGAGCACAAAGACAATGCGGCCATCTTCACCGGCGCATCTGACGCATCAGGCCCCATTGATTTATGACCTCAGTGAACCAAGTAAACAAGAGTTTATGGGCTCAATTGCTGGTCTTCTTTAGAAATAGATGTAAATCATGGTTCCATTGAAATTAAAACATTTGATAAAGAGATGTGTCTTTTAGGGTGTGGCTACCTTGTGATTGACAGGTGGCGGCCCAGTCTGAGTTTTGGCTGAACTTTAACCCTCCTACAGTGTGTTTTCACTTCATGAAAGTTAATTGTAACCTTTTTGGTCACCTATAAAAACATTATACTTAGTTCCAACCTCTCATTTCACTTCTGGTTCCAAAAAAAACAGAAATACCAAACTAAAGGCTCCAAAACTTGAAAAACCAATGTGTGTCGACTACTTCCACGTCTAGGCTGCATGGCTGGAAATGATTGTAATGCTGTCCTCCCTCCTGTGTTTGATATCTGTTTTTGCAAGCTTTCCACTTACACTTGACTCCACTGAGGTTTTGTTTCCTCATGTCTCATTCTTAAGCTGCGGGATCACGCTCAGGGGTCAAAGGTCATGGCTCTGACGTCAGTGGTGAGAGGGAAAGAGGTTGAGTCTGAAGCCATCGCCCTGCACAGAGAACTGCAATGTGAGTCTTTTTCGTTTCTGTTTTTCACTCTCTTCACTGTCTGTCCTGCATTGTTGTTTTTGTTCAATAACATTGTTCTTCTTAAATTGAAATGTCAAGTGCAGAGTCTGAAAACAAACATATCAACAACAAGAACTGAAATATTTCTGTAATAAATATGTCATCACCATTGTAACATTTTGACCTAATCCCCGAGTATTGAATGCAGCAGCGGCTTACATTATGTGGAAAATGTAATGAAGTGGAATTTTTTGAGAGTTTCCAATGCGTCAAATTCATAAATGAAATATCGACTCTTTATGATGCGTGCAGAGAATCGTAAGTTACTCCTCAGACTTTCATGGAAGAAACTAAAACAGCACAGTAAAAACAGAGCATGAAACATTTAAATACAATTCTGCCAGTAGACAATAGTATGTTTAAGTCAAACCTTTTATAATTCAAAACAACCATGACTCCGAAAACCTGTTTTCTTAATCAGTTTTTTACCCAAATCTGTCCCCTCAAGCTAGAACATGTGAATGTATTGCATACTAGATAAAAGGTAAGTGCAAAAAGAAGTGTAATGTACAGGGTATATGGACATAAAATATACAAAAAAATAGAATGTGGAAGGGGTGTGAATATGAAAGAGATTTCAGAATTGTTGGTGTTTTCTGAGCTCTTCTGACTCACTATCACGTCATATCACAGAAACGCATGCAACATTCATGAATAAGCAACATTTAACCCATTGAATGTCTTTTCCCCAGCTTGATATTTGATTGTTGCTCATTTAATCATGAGAATAATAATGCATGAGACTTGTATAGCGCTTTTCTAGAAACTCAAAGACGCTTTGACAGAGAATTAAAAAAAAATACAAAATACAAAAAGAGATAAACAAAACAGAAAATAGGGGGGGGGGGGGGGGGGGTCAGTGGTTGAATGCAGTGTTGAACAGGTGGGTTTTTGAGTGATGTTTTCAATGCTGTGAGGGAGGAAGAATCTCTGATGGATTGGAGTAGTGAGTTCCAGAGGGTGGGTGCAGCAACGGAGAAGGCTCTGCCGCCCCAGGACTTGAGGTTGGTCCGGGTGGGGAGGGACAGGAAGTTGGCAGCAGCAGAGCGGGGGGAGCGAGTGGGAGTGTGTCTGTGGAGGTGGTCAGTCAGGTAGGATGGGGCCAGGTTATGGAGGGCTTTGTATGTCATTAGGAGGATTTTGTACTGAGTTCTCTGGGGGATGGGGAGCCCGTGGAGCTTGATGAGGACGGGTGTAATGTGTTCACGGATTCGGGTGTGGGTGAGTAGACGGGCGGCGGAATTCTGGATGTATTGAAGTTTGTTGAGGATTTTTGCAGGTGAACCATAGAGGAGGCTGTTGCAATAGTCCAGACGGGAGGCGATGAAGGCGTGGATGAGTCGATAGAATGCACTTTAATAGCTACATTTGGGATTTAAAACGACTTTTCACTGCCTCTGTTCCTTTCCCTTGCCTTCTTCCTGATCCTCAGACATGGTGAGGGAGTGGCCCCGGCAGCAGGCCCAGACAAAGGCCTCGATAAAGAAGGAGAAACCTCTGGAGGAGAAGGTTCTCGCAGATGTCAGGAGAAAGGTCTCGCAGATAAAAGAGATGCTGGAACCCGCTCTGCAGAACTCCAGCCTCTCCAGCAACATCACACAGCAGGCAGAACACACCGCTCACGCTGTGGCAAAGGTGTGTGTGCAGCCAACACACCGCTCTGTGGCACAGGGGTCCAGATGGACGTTTTAGTTTTGCTTTGCAACTTGGAATCTTGACCCCCTCTTGATGAAAACAGTCATGTTCAAAACCCAGTTCAAAATCAGTTCTCATAGAATCATTAAGTTGGGGCCTTTTTGGTTAAATAAAGGATAAACAAATTCATACATAACCAAAAACCCTACAAAACTATCTGAACAAAATATCTCAAATAGTCGGTAGGGCTGCACAATAATTCATATTTCATCGTCATCACAATGTCAACTTGCAAAGAAACACATTAACACTTCAAAATCAATATTTTGTGTGCAGTTAGATGTTCAGTTTGAAAAAATCAAACCATCTTCCAATTAATTTCCCTTTTATTTTTGTATCTAAAAGCAATTTGTGTATCTTGGCAGTATATATGTTTATAAAGCAGAACTGAGTACACTTTAATATCTGTTCATTTATTGCCTGTAGTATTTATATCACAAGTAATAACATGTTCCTGATGTTGTGCAGCCCTAATAGTTGATTACAGTTTGTCTCTCCCCTGTTCTCCCCTTCCTTTGTGTGCAGGAATCCAAAGCCATTCTGATCCAAGCCAAGCACACGAGGACAGCGTCGGCTCACCTCAGCTCGCACATCGACTCCGCTCTGCAGCAGCTGAGTGAGCAGGAGCTGCAGACTGACAGAGCCCGCTCCCTGGTCACTGCAGAGGTAACACACACGTCATCCACACATCTGAACAGCAGGATCCATGCATATTGATCTGTGCTTCCTGTGCTCAGTGATAAGGACGATGTTTCTGTTTTCTCATTTCCAGCCTCAGGTGTCCCTGGCCGGCGTTAAAGAAGACATGAAGGAAGCCAAGCTCCAGTTAAAGGCCTTCTCTGTTACACTCACTGAGCTAATCAGCAAGATTGGTAAGTCACTCTCTTATAGATGATGTTCACTCTGCCTCCTTTAAAGTCAGGACAAACTCATAAATCTTCATTATACCGTAAATGTCACTTCACTAAAGAGCTATCTGCTTTTTAATGCCTCGTTTAACATGGAAATGTTTATCCCATATGATGAAGTAACTGCTGTTCATGGGCCCAGCAGCGGGTTCTCTGTGGGTAAATGTCACTGCTAAATATTTCAACTGTGTTTATATTTTTAACACAGTGGTAAATAATTACATATTATTTTACTTAATTGCACATTTGAGTTACTTTAGGGTTTTTGTTTCTTGCCACTGCACACTTCTACTTCACTACAATGTCAAGGAACACATTGTGATTTTTACTTTACTGCTTATATTTTTACAGCTTTAGATCTTTAACAAATTAAACAGATTTTTATTATAACATTACATGTTTTGTTAAATTTAAAAAGCCAACTATCTATACAAAAACATCTTGTTTGATACATTTACAAGCATACTACATTTCAGTAATTTTTCTTTCTTTCTTTATTCTTATTTTAGATTTTTCTCTATTGGGAACTTTTAATACTTTAAAACTTTACACATTTAAGTAATGTTCTTTATTATTTCGAATCATTTAAAGTTTTTTTTATTTAAAGTGGACCTATCATGCTATATTTGAATAATATATTTTAGGGCCATAACTATATAAAACATGTCTGTGAAGTTTTTTTTTCAAAATACCAAACAGATCATGCATTTTAGCCATGCCTCATTTCGCTCTATTTGCTCTTTTCCAGCCCTGTTTTTGCAAGGGCTGATTCTGTGACGTAGCTTTAATGCAAATGAGCTGCAGCTGACCACGCCCCCCTGCAGGAGAGGGGGGCGTGCTCAAAGATCAGCTGCTGGGCTCTCAGAAGAGGGGGAGGAAAAGAGAGGCTCCGTCCTCCGTGTATTATTCTTATATTATTATATAGAGTCGTTATTCATTTGTTTTAAAGCTCAATAAATAACAAAGAAGACCTTTGACCGGCACTTTTCTAATTTTGTCCGGAAGATTTCAACTTTAACGGACATGTTGACCGGCGGAAAAAAATCTAACTGAAACTCTGCCGCACGGTCCCCTCGTCCCTTGGAAGAGACGGAGAGGTGGGTGTTTGTCATCTGCTGGTGGTCTAACCGGAGAGAATTACAGTGCTTGCCTCGACGGGGAGGGATTGCATTGAATTAAAGCAGCGGGAGCAAACGCTTGCCTCGGGGAGGGAGAAAAAGAGCCATATCGTCCACAGCAGAGAATAAACAGAAGGGCAACCATGGCAACCATGCGCGGGAAGTCTTCTTCGCTGCTTTTGTGGCAGACTACAGCGCCACTTACAGGCCTGGCATATGTACTACAGCGTCTCCAGCGCTTTCGAGCGGCAATGGCCGGCCGTGGCCCAACCCCCCATTCCCCTGATAGGTGGAGAGTTGCCCATATAGGCGGAGCACCCCTTTTCTGACGTCAGAAAAATTAATCCAGCCCTGTTTTTAGAGATTTGGGTATGGAGGAAAACAGAGAGGGTTGTGTTTTCTGACACTTGGTGAGTTCCCTGACACACCGGGGACACATATTCATGTATAAAAGACGTACAAAAGTGCATTTTGCATGATAGGTCCCCTTTAAATCTTAGATTGTTCTTTATTGGGAATTCTTAGTACTTAAAGAAACTAAACTCATTTTAGTAATTTTCTATATTATTTCCAATCATTTTACAAATATATATATTTGAGATATTTGAGCATTATTATTATATATTTTTTATTATTATTATTTGTATTTCTGTACTGGGGACTTTTAATACTTTAATAACATGTTGCCGATGATACCTACCTACTTTACCTAAGTGATCAATTTGATAACAGGACTTTTGTAATACAGTAACTTTACAGTGAGATATTCGTACATTTAGTAAAGTCAAGGGCTTCAATACTTCTTCCACCTCTGTTCAAACTGAATTACCTGTGTAATCTATTGTGTAGAATTATGTGTGTAGAATGAATAAGACATGGCAGGCCTTTTCTGGTGAATATGTTAACACACCTGAGTGGATAATATCTGAAATCACTGTAATTAGGGTGTCGTGGCTTGAATCGGTGATGTTGGACTGCTGATAACAAAACTAGAGCGACAGTAAAACTTCTGTCTCCACTAAATGTTTTTCCTCTGCCTCCATCTGTCCTCTCTCTTGCGTGTCCGGATCAGATGGGAACGTGCCGCTGGAGCGCTTTGACCGGATCCTGGATGAGACGGAGCGGCGCCTCAGCATGCTCCGCGGGAGTGTCGACAGCCCGACGCTGGGAGTGAAGATTCAGAAGCTGCGTTCAGCCGCTCAGGAGCAGCACAGCCGGATGTCCCTCATTGAACAGGACTTACAGGAGATCACAGAGGAGAGAGACAGTCTGAGGGACATCGCTCTGAACCTGCCCGCGTCCTGCCCCTAGGCCTCAGCCGCAGGTACAGGCTACACACTGAAGAGGAGAGGCCTTAAAGGGATGCTTCAGATTGTTTGAAGTGGGATTGGATCAGGTACTTATCCATATTCAGTGTATTACCCACAGTAGATGAAGGATGGCACGCCCCGAGATTGGATGAAAAGACAGGATTACCATGGAGGAGACGGAAGAGAAAAGATGAACTGCTGGGGATGGGGCGGCAGCATAATATATTGTAGCCTCCTTATGAATAGCAAAATCACTTACAGTGTGTGCTATATTTAGAATACTTACACTGCTTTACTTTGCTGTCAGACAGCTCTTTCCAACGGGGAACTGAAGCGTATTTACGCTTTCTTTAAAGCCACCAGACTCTATTGACGAAAACAGTCAGTTTACTTTGCAGAACAAGGGTTGGGCTACCGCTTAATTCAATCAGTTGAAATGTAATTGTCAGTATTATTGTGTGACTTTGGGCTTTCGAAGGCTAAGCTAGTTTGATTCACCAACATATAATGCAAACAAACCAACCTATCAAGGCAGTGATAGAGCAGCAGCAGCTTCCATGTTTGTGAGTTCTGGTGACTTTTAAAAGAGCATAGAAGAAGAAGAAGAAGAATCTGGTTTATTGTAGGTTTACACATACAAGGAATTTGCTTTGGTGTGTAATTGTGCATACATAAAAACAATAAGAGTGTTTAAGTAAAAAAAAAGAAGGAAAAATGCTATACATTTTTATTTATTTTTTAAATTAGAAAATATTAAAATAAATGTTTTTCAAGGAATGGAAAAAAAGTACAAAAATAATATGACAATTAGTCTGAGAATAAAATATGTGCCTTATAAAAAAATACGACAGCTTCAGTTCCCCATTGGAAACTGTAGAGTGGTACAAATATTCCACATTTAGCGTACACTTCATCTAATATTGATTCTGTAGGTGTCTTTAATATGTTTTGCTGCTGCTCCCGTTCAGCAGTACATCGCTGAGATTTGCAGCCAGTACTCCTGTGTGCTTTTTCAAACTAGGGGGCGTTCCATCCATCATCGACTGTAGGTAGTGTGGTAAGTACCTTATACAACCCCTCTTCAGAAAACTCTCCCTCTAAGTCATTGATAAGACACTCCAACATCAGAGAAGCCTGGGAGGATTTTGATAATAAAAGGGGCTGTGGTAATTTTTTATTCTGCTTCGAAAAAGTGAGTTATATCCCTTCATATTTTCCAGCTTTTGCCCCAAGGTACAATTTATTTTACCACCTCAAGAGACTCAGTCTCGCACATTCCCAGCAAAGCCTCAAACCCCTCCACTGTCTCGCATGATTCAAACCTAATCTTCCTTTTTGTTTTCCTTAATTTCTTTCTCCCACTCTTTCCTTTCACTGCAGAACTGTAATTTCACCGTGAATAATAACCAGACGTACTGAACTGCTGGAGTGCCCTGTCAAGTTTAAAATAAAGCTGATTTTCCTTTGTGGGGGTAAAAGGTGTGTCTGAGTGCTCCTCCACACTGACACTTTCATTTACACTTGAGCTCTTTTTCATCAGTCTGGCTTAATTAACAATTAGTCCCCTTGGCCTCGGTGGGGTTCAGGTCAGGCTTCAATAGCACACAACCTGTTCTGAATCTTACATTGCCTATCTTATTGTGCTTTCTAAATAAAATAAGTGAGTCTCCTTCAAATGTAGGAATATCTCTTGTCTCAAGTCACAGTCTTGGTCAAATTATCCGAGATAATCAGTTTTAAAGAGGCCCTATTTTATGTTTTCCCTTTCCTGCAGTGTGCTATATAGATTTGAGTATAGAATGGTCTGCAAAGGCTAAAATCCCTGTGTGTCCCCCCCCCCCCCCCCCCCCCCCCCCCCCTGCCTGAAACGTCTCCATTGGACTCCTTTGTTTACTTCCGGAACATAGTGACATCACTATGTAACACTCGCACCGTTATTGTTTGCTGCTCCAACACATTGAACGTGATAGGCTAAGAGGCAGGACATCTCTAAGCGGTTAACAACCTCCATCTCAACATCAGCAAAACAAAGGAGCTGATTGTGGACTACAGGAAGCAGCAGGGAGAGGGACACGCCCCCATCGCCATCAATGGGACTACGGTGGAGAGTCAAAAGCTTCAGGTTCCTTGGGGTCCACATCACTGAGGACCTGACATGGTCTCTTCACACCACCACCATCACCAAGAAAGCTCGACAGCGGCTCTTCTTCCTCCGCAGGCTGAGGAGGTTCAAAATGGATTCCAGGATACTCTGCAACTTCTACAGGTGCACGATAGAGAGTATCCTCACTGGCAGCATGACGGCCTGGTACGGCAGCTGCACCGACCTCGATCGTAAGGCTTTACAGAGGGTGGTGAAAACTGCACAGCACATCACCAGGACGGAGCTGCCATCCATGGAGGACCTTTACTCCCAGCGGCTCAGGAAGAAATCACTACGGATTATCAAAGACCCCCATCACCCCAGCCACAAACTGTTCTTTCTGTTGCCGTCTGGCAGACGTTACCGCAGCATCCTGGCAAGGACAAGAAGATTCGGAGACAGTTTCTTCCCGCGGGCAGTGAGACTGTTAAACAATTGAACTGTTGAAACAACTTCAAACATTCAACTGCTACTCAGTAGTATGTATCTAATACCTAATATATATATATCATTCCAATAACTTGTATATAGACTCATACTGCACTATTCCACATCATAACTTTATTTCATTTTTATAACTATTATTATTTTTGTATTGCTCTTGCTCTTATTGTTATTATGTTATGTTATTATGTTGCATTGTTGGAAAAGCCTGTGACATAAGATTTTCAACTGCATAATTACTCTGTAGCTATGTCAGATTGACAATAAAGAACCTTGAACCTTGAACCTTGAACCTTGACCAATCACAACAGAACCGGCCAGCTAACCAATCAGAGCAGACTGGGCTCTGGTTTCAGACAGAGGGTGAAAAGAGGTGCTGCAGCACAGGCAGTATGAGACAAATAAAGAGCTTTTTGAACATTAGAGCTTGGAGACATGTCACAGTCGAGGAACAAAATACAAATATGAACCTGAAAATGAGCACAATATGTCATCTTTAAGACAAATGTTGAGGTTCTCATATGTCCCAGTTACACATAGCTACATCGACTTATAGTAAATGTATTGAATGTAAGGCCTTCACATAGAAACCATTACACAATGAAAGGGCCATTTTGAATACTGAAATGTCTGTAATTATTGATAGTCACTTTTGTACAACATTGTAATGCACAGTGAAAAGCAAAGAGCTGCACACAGCTGAGAAAAATGTGTTGGTGATTATCCAAGGAATTCTCTGAAAAAACAAGCAATAAATTAAGTATTTAATCCTGAGAAACATTCTTGCTGTTTGTTCATTTTCTCCCAAGCACGTCACAGTATAATAAACACTAGGTTACACACTATGTGAGTACATCGTTTTGTATGTTGTTTTTCTATTATTTGCATTTTAAGATCATGTTTAGTCATCTGATTCGTCGGTACATTGCTGTTTTAGTCTGCGTTCTTCCAATTAGTGTCCACAGTGTGCCTATTGAGCCGTGTTGAGCGATGTGGGGCAAGCCCCTCTCTCTGCTGTAGAAATGAATGGGTGCTGTCAAAACTACACTGCGCATGCTCAGAGTATTTTTCCATTCAATGTGTGCGGCAAACAAATAATCACCAGTGGGGCAAAGTGCTGGCATACCCACCAAACGTCATCTCATAATTCAGAAGCTGATTGGCTGTAAGTATGTGTGCCGCGAAAAGTGTAAATGTGAAGAGTTCATTTTATGTCATATCGTTTGTTGATCTTCTGTGTGTTGCCTATAGGCTATTGCTCTGCTGAATCGATTGATATTGTGACCTCGGTGATGAGTTTCTGTGTTTTCCTTATATCCCCCCCCCCCCCTCTCTCTATCGGAACCATGGATAGCCTACAGCTATTTGTTTACGTGTTTAAAAAACCACCAGAAGCTTATATATACACATCTAAGTTGTTCGTGCCCCACCACTTTTGTACATATAAAAACGCCACTGGTTACAGGCCATGCACAATGTATTAGGATATCAACTTTAAACCAATTAAAGGTAGGGTAGGTAAGTTTGAGAAACCGGCTCGAGATACACTTTTTGTTATATTCCATGGAATGCTCTTAACATCCCGATAGCAATGAATATCTTAAGTGCTTTGACAAAATATCCATCAAAAAATGTCATCTGTGGAAGCCGTAATACTGTAAAAAGTACGACCAATCATTTTAGCCGGCCCGGCTAAAATAACTGGATGGCCTACCTGCCTGTCAGCCTTCCATCTGTGCACAAACTTATCTCGTGCCCTCATTGGTCATGTGCGCGTACGTGTGTGTTGGAGGAGGGGCTCTATAAGGAAGTGGCAGATTTTCTCCGGTTGTGTATTTTCAAATTCTAGCGATCTCGAGCCGGTTTCTCAAACTTACCTACCCTACCTTTAATTGGAATTTTCTTTTATTATGGCTACTCTTACTAGGAATCAGTAAGAACATTTCTTCTGGTGTTTTTCAAGAGGGATAAGTGAGATTACATTTTTTATTTCCAGTTCTCTTATAATTACTTCCAAGAAGCAAAAATATATAACTATGTTTTGCCTTCTGCTCACCACAATCTTTCCAGCATTTAAAACTAATCATTTCTTTATCTGAGTATGAGTAGTTGCATGAGTATTTCCATTAATGGTGATTTAATTCATTCATTCATAATTTGTGTGCATTAAAAGTGCACTTTGTTCCTTTGCTCATAAATAAACCTGTAGTTGTTCGTCGTATTTGATAATAGAAAAGGAAGAAAACGTTTTACATTTGGGGAAATATATATAGGTGCTTTTTCTTCTGTGTTGAATGTGAAGCTACACCTGCAAAGTTCTCTAATCAACACGTGTTATCTTGTTTTTTTCTACACTTTGAGTGTTATATCTCGTTAAACGTACTAAAATATAACAGTATAATTAATGCTGGAGGCACAGGAAGCTGAATATCTTCCCTTACAGACAGAGCTCACTGTTTCCTCATGTTGCTAGTCTTTACATTAATCACCTGCCGACCTGCGTCATAGATGAGAAGAACAATAAGAGCGATATATCGCATGTTATCAATGCTCAAAAAGAAGAAAAGAAGCTCAATTAGTTTGAAAAAGTTCCAATAACTCCACTGTGCTGTTAAATTACATTTCATTACATTACATTACATGTTACTTGTTAGACGCTTTTATCCAAAGCGACTTACATACTCAATACTGTGGACAATCCCCACAGGAGCAATTTGGGGTGAAGTGTCTCAGGGACACAACGACATGCTGACTGCAGTGGGGTTTAAATCATTGTGAAATTCCACATGCTGCTTTTGTAATGAGCTCTGTTTGATGTTGAAAAACCTTGAATAGCCATATCAATATGCACATTTATTGTAGAAGTTTGCTTAAAATTACATATTTTATGACAATTGTAGTCAGCTTTTACCTTTTAACACACACCATGTGTATGTGAATGTTCTTTCCATTGAAACGTCCAATGCTGATGAGCCATATGTTGAACAAGGTCAAAGAAACAGTGCTTCTGTTCCACTCTGTACAAAGATAATCACAGAGGAGAACATTCATGGAAATCCATCACCAGGATAAATGCAGCGCTACGTTTTAGGAATTAAAAGTAGTCATTTTCAGTCCGTTTAGCGGCCAAGTAGAGATGAGTGTCATTACCATATGAAAATGAAAATTTATATTCATGACCATTGAAGAGGAGATAGAGATAGAAAATGGCAAAGAGTGCTGAAAGTCATCACTTTATTACAATATTCCTGCTTCGTACTGAAGAGAATATTACGACATTCTTCTTGATGGGGTTTTTACACAAAAAAAGAACAGACAATGTAAATGTGCCACTTACATTTTTAGAGTTTCCAGTAAAAACATTTAGAAAAATCTGCTTTTAATTTGCAATAGATGTGTACAGACTAGGTATGACCAAATTAAACATCAATTAGTAAACTGTATGAATACAAATGCTTTATTTCTTGAATCTGCCTTTGTACAGTAGGCAGCATGCCCTCTCATACGTTTTGTTTCTATTTGCACAACTCTCTCCTCTTGCCTGAAGTCTGTTTCTCACGAAAAGAAAGTTTCTCCCACAGAGAAAAAAATATATTCATGAAAAGCAATCGCCATGAGCAGAGAAATAAGGGTTGGTTTATTGATAATAAGCCAAAAGCTAGCAGGGAATCATAGATGCTGTTTGGCTACTGGTGGGGGGCTAATTATCATCAGCAACTATACAAGGCATCTACCTTCATATTTCCCTCCTTGTGTCTTTGGTATAAGGTCGGGAGGGTTACTTTAATAATGTATTTCATTTACAACTAGAAAATGCATTTCCTGCAGAAAATGCGTGCGAATGCTGTAAACTGTGAACATTTGTGGCTGAATTTAGCTGAAAAAGCTGAATATGTTATTAGCTGAATGGTAGCTGCTTTTAGCTACAAAAAT